GCGGTTGTTATTTATACGTTGATAATTTTTGACATACTAATTGAAGATTAAATGTACTTTTTTCGCTTCTTCAACTTCTCAAATCATTAGAAACATAATAAAATCTTATTACGCAATTTAAATTTAATTTATCTTAATATCTTAAATCTCAATTAAAAATCTTGCCATTGTAAGCTATATTACATTTAATCAAATCGTGTATTTAATAATGAAATTAAAATGATCGTTATGCAAATGTATGATTTTCGAGAATTTCACGTTTAACGAACGTATCATCGCGTAACTTTATGTCACGAACGTTGATTTACGGTAGCAAACACCTACTGTGCCGGAGAATCCATTAGCTAACAAAGCGAGAGGGACATTATCTGAGTAAAACTGACAACTAATTAATGAAAACGCCGAAGCGCCGGAACAGTAGTAGAGCCGAAACCATTTGAACGGTGGCCAATTACACATGTACTTTTCGGGGAATGTTGAGGTCGACTAACGTCATCCGCAAATACTCCCACGAAGTGCCGCAGCCGCATCGGGGACCCTACGACATGCGTGGCCGAATAGTGATCGAAAGAACGTGCGTCAGGTGATGGCTACGTAAAAGGAAGAGATAGAAACAGGGCGGATACGGTATTAGAGGTGTGCGCACGGCAGCCGTCGCGGCGGGTTAAAATGGGTAGGGATGAATTTCACCAGGTTAATAATACGAAGGTCGCACAGGGATCCTAGACCCTAATTTCACGATCTCTGCGCTTAATGGAAGGGACAGAAACCAGACAGAGCGGGGCTCGGACGAAACCGAGTGGTATCGCTGAAATGCGTATTCGTCGTTGAAACAGACTCCTTTTTTTTTTTACGCTTTACGTGCGTCTTTCTCGTCGAGCTATAGGGGTAGTCTCGAGCGTAAAAGTCACGTACAATAACGTTATGTGTACCCGCGATGTGTCGCATGTGAATTGTCGGATAATGACAGGCACTCATCGACGGTGCCACATCACCTTTGACCGTATCGCCGTGAAACGTCATATAATGTCGCGAAGCGTATATGATATCCGGGATTGCTTAGGGCTCCGCAGCAGCTTTAATCCGTTCATGGGCGCGTTGGCTGGGGTGGTGGCGAGGCTAGACGCGGAGAGCGAAAGGGAGTAAAAGAAAGAGAGAGAGAGAGAGAGAGAGAGAGAGAGAAAGATAGAGAAAGATAAAGATCGAGAGGGAGAGAACTACCCCGTCCGAGTCTGTGAAAGAGGGGTAACACCGGGGAGAGAATGCGCGTTGTATTAAAAGCGCCGGCTCTCGCCGCGCAGCGTGGGAGTTAGTTCTGGTGAGGGCGCCAGGCAGCTCACTCACCGAAGCTAACCCACCGTCCCAACCCTTCGATCCTCCACATCCCTCGACCTTCGACCAACAAAGCAACCACATCCACGGCCGCAAATCTCTCCTCACCGTCATTCGTGTCCGTCGTCGCATCCCGTCAGTCCGAAAAAGTCCCTCCCGCGTGAGAGAAGGCAACAGTTTGCGAGTATCGTGTCCGCGTCGACATCGACGACGACGACGACGACGACGACGACGACGGTGGCGTTTGCAGCGAGGGTGCAGTAGCGAGAAGCGGTGCTGTCGCGCGACGAACCTAGGTCGGGAATGGAGTGAGAAAGAGAGAGAGAGAGAGAGAGAGAGAGAGAGAGAGAAAGAGAGAGAGAGAGGGAGAGAGAAAAAGGAGAGAGAAAGAGAGAGAGGGAACATTTCTCGTCGCTCAATGGAACACCGGCGCGGCCGGTCGAGATCGGCGACGTCAGCACGGCAAGTCGGGCAACCGCGGGAAACAGCCTTTAACCTTTGAAATATCGCCGTGCGCGCGATTATAGTCGGAGAACCGCAGATCTCGAACTTCGTATCGTGGAAGACCGGAGTTAGAGGCAAGAAGAGGGAAGAGGGAAGAGAAAAAGTGAAGGGAGACGAAATAGAGACGGACAGTAGTAGCATAGGGAGTGCAACACCCCCTTGGTATTGGGGAACGGAATCGACAATCTGGAAGAAGTATCCTCCCTGGTGGTACCTCTCCGATCATCGCCGCGACGATTTCATACACAGAGATAGATAGAGAGAAAGAAATACAGACACGCATACGTAACACGCGCACGCAGATATCCAACGCTCGCGTGCGCGGGCGCGCGCACGGCATCACACGCCCATATGAACGGCCATACGGAAGCGGAGCGTGTGAGAGAGAACGACGAAAATGTCAGTGAATGAATTGCGCCCCGTCGTGTGTGAGCGGACGACGTCGTACGTGGTATGATTGCACGGGGTGTCGCTACGTCGTCGGGACAGACATAGCTCTTTTCGTAACGCGCTTCGATCGACGAGGGAGAGAAGGACCGAGCGTGATGCACGACGTACGTTGCCGAACGTCAACCAGAAACTCAGGTGTCCGTTAAAAGAAGAGCGGAGCGGTAAAAGAGAAAAAAAGAAGCGGAGGGTGAAGGACATTTCGGAGGACACATCCTTCCTTCCTTCCTTCATTCCTTGGCAGCGTAGAAGGCGCCGCGAACAGTGCGCCGAAGGTGAAATCGCACGATAAGGCGAAGAGACGAGGAGAAGAAAGAAGAGGATAAGAGCGGAGACACACACACACACAGAGAGAGGGCGAAAGAGAGGGTGATAGGGTCGGAGAACATCACGGGACGGCGCGACGCGGAGGGAGGAAAGGTCGAGATCGGTGGGAAAGCTCTCACGCGGAAGGAAGAAAAAGCGCACACGGCAGGCACACGGCAGACGAGACACGCGGCGGCGACAGAAAGAGACAGAGAGACAGAGAGACAGAGATCAAGAAGCAAGTATTATCACAGTAAAATGCCCCGCGCATTAATAAAACACTGCACCTCCTATGTATCTCGATGAACCCTCCCGCGCGCGCATAAAATCTCTATCTGTACTGTTCACGCGGGGCCGTCTCGCGCCCCTGACATATCTCTACTCTCACTACTACATACATATGCATATATCTCGGTGTACCTCTTTTTCTTCTGTGCCTTTGTTCTAAACATCTCTGTTGTGTAAACACCTGGTCCCGCGTCTCGCACCGACAACAAACGCGCACCGCTCTCTGCCACGGCAAGCCTTTGCTTTTTGAACGTTTTTCGGGGCACCTGTTGATACGACCGACCTACATACCATACTAGCTGCTGTCTACATTTATGCTCTGTCACCCCGTCATTGTCGTACGACCGATCGGTCATCGAGCACGGTATCTCCGAGGTTGGTCCGGCGTTGGTCTTCTCCGCTCGCGCGAGTATCGTCCGCGGACGCACGAGACGCAAATTTTATATCATACGCGCTACGTCGTAGTTTTCAGATCTGATCCGAATCACAAAATTTTGACGCGACCTGAATCGTATCGAGAGAGAAAATTATTTCGCTTCTTTGTTTCATCCCTGAATGCCTATCAGTCATTACGCGATCGCCTAATGTAAGTTTTGCGAAATTTCACGACGATGACAATTACGTTCGACTAGTATTTAATTATATCGCGAAAATTTTTATAAAATTATTGAAAAATCGTGTTTTTTATTACGATCGCAAGGTGGAACTTGGACGATTAGGCGCGATTATTTACAAACGAACGCGATGATCATCTATTATCGTAATTGCAATCGCCTCGCTGGCGACGTAGCTCGGTTCTTCGTGTTGCGCAAAGAAACATACGCTCGAGTATGTTCGATGTACGTGAGGAGAAAGGGAGATAGGTACGTAAAACAGAAAGAGAGAGATATGACGAATGGAAAAAAGGGGTTGGGCCGAGCGAGAAAGAGCAGATGCAGAAAGAGAGAGGCAAAGAGAGCGGCAAGGTAAGCGGATAAGGAAACAACGCACTCTGAGGAAGAGGGTTCTCTCTCTTTCCGGAGAGACGATGTAGCTTTATCGGCAAACGCGAGCGTTGGGTGGCACGTCGACGTTTGGTCTAAATGTTGTTTAACACTCTCAAGCACCTTATATACGCATCTATGAGCACGCACGATGAGCACCTCCGATACCACCTCCACACGTCGCAGCACTCTCTGTTGAATTATATCCTGAGAAAACAAAAACCAACAAAAAAAAAAAAAAAAAAAGAAAAACCACCACAAATCTTTTTGTGTTCCTGGCACCTACGGTCGTAGAATATCGCACGTTATTCTTTATTAACGACCTGATTTCAGGACGGTCGGTACAGGACAGGTGTGCGCTTTATCACGAAGGGAAAGCCAAGGTCGCGGCTACTATCATGGACTACCGAAAGTGAAGCGTATCGATTAGAGGAGCGAGCATAACGCAATCAAATGTCAAACGTGATACACCGTGCGCTCGAATCGGCAACTTAACTCCGATAGAGAGACAAAAAGAGAGAGATAGAGAGGTCTGTTATTTTTCCGGGGCCTGACAGAATTGTGGGTCCCAGTCTGGGACATGCTAGAAAGAGAAAGAGAGAGAGAGAGAGAGAGAGAGAGAGAGAGATCACCCTCTCGATACAGCACGCGTAGCATCGTTGCGTTTTCTATGCAATAGCCGTCGCTGTGTCAAAGTATATCGCCGTTCGTGATTTTTTATCAAGTTTATCCTCGATCTCCTATTCTTCGCCCCCTCGATATCAATCGACCGCCCCGAATCTCCCACCCACCTTACTGCACGCACACTTACACGCGCATATACAGACACACACACACATACATATATACACAGATACACCTACACGTTCCATCCTCAGCTTCCCAGTGTACCGCGAGTTCAAACGAAAAGTCGGCCTAACTCAGAATCGCTACAGACGTGCCTTTAGACTGGCAGTGAGTAGTAAACAGCTAAAGAGAATAAAAACACAAGAAAATTTAAAAAAATATATAAACAAAGCATATCATTGCTGTTCATGTAGGTCAATTATAACACCACGTTCAACCGTATAATCGGGTGCAACAAAAGTGGTGGACAAAAGAGAGAAGGAAGAAAGAGGGAGATATATATATACGTAGATACATATATAGAGAGATAGAGAAAACTAGAGAAAAAGAAAAGAGGGAAGAAGAGAGAGAGAGAGAGAGAGAAAGACAGAGAGAGAGAGAGAAATAACGGAACGCTGCTTGAAAACGTTGATGATTTGTAAAATGGCGGTTTGCATGTTCTGGCTTCTCACCTATGTGGGACAGGGACTGGATCTGGCGGTGGGCAATCGACCCGTGATCATACAAGTGCAAGGCACACAAGGGCTCGACTATCGTCACGGAAGCGGTAGCAGCATTAGAAAGAAGAGCGAGCTGAGCCCGGTAGGAAGCAACCTGTTGCACCTCAGAATATACCCTACCGACGGCAGTCCCCACATGCGAGACGATCTGTCCAACTGGCTGGTATTGAACGACGAGCCGCGGATAACGTCGTGGTCGCCCGCCGGCATGCTGATCGACGACATGGTGAAGGAGCCGCGCGAGCTCCAGAACGTGTTCTTCGCCCTGTCGCCCGCCATGCTCAACGTCCTCTATTCCGAATACGTGACGTCGTCGCAGTCCCATGCGATCGCCGCGACCGAGCCTTATATTCCTCATGACGAGGGTAACAATCAGCTGATCGGCGGCGGCCGTCAGCGAGTGAAGAAACGGCGTATAGGCTGTCGGCATCCGCGAGGTCCGCTCAGCGTCCTGCCGCCGATACTGGTGTGCGACGAGGCCGGTAGAAAGACCACCGCCGCCGCCGCCAACGTCCTTCAGGAATCCAGACAATCCAATTACGACGATCTCTACGCGGAGCAGAGATTTAACACTGCGACGAGTACGAAGACTGATCCCGCGGGCGCCGAGGCCGGCACCACCCTTAATTTACCCACGAACGGCGGCTTCATCCCGAAGGCCTTCGCCTACGAGACTGGCAAATTACCCGGTAGCAAGCGGAATCAGATCACGGTCGGACGGCGTTCGATCGACGCGCAACGAGAGTCCCCGGGACACCAGGCTCAAGCGTCCTCGGTGTCCTCGGCCGGCGCGAGCATCGCCTCGCATCTCATGCTGAGGTCCATCCGGGGAAGCATACAGTACGACGTGCCGCAAGTCGGTAAGTGATATCGTCTCATTTATCACTTATATATTCGCGAATAAATCAGGAAAACTGCTATTGCTATACAGAAAATATACATGCAATGACACAAAATTCAAATTTTTCAAAATTTTCCACAAAAAGAATATTTATATAAAATTATTTATACAATAACTATTATAGAATTATAAATTAAAGAATTATTTATAAAAACATATTATTTTTGGATACATTATCATATATTATCATATATTTTGTATGTGTGTGTGTGTGTGTGTGTGTGTGTGTGTACCAGTTTCTATTCTCTCTTAACTGATACAATCAAATTTGTTTTTATATGTCTATTTTCTTTTCTTCCTTTCTATTCCTTAAAAAATTTTATAGAATTTTTAAAACATTGCGTTGCAATTTCGTGAGCAATTACATAAATGAAAGATTGGCTGTATTGTCTGCGAAAGATCAGACATAATTTATATAGGCTGTTTACTAAACTCCGTTTAGAAAATACCAATCCATTAATCTGCTTCAAATATTGTGATATTTTTAAATGCCCAATTCTCTCTCTCTCTCTCTGATAATGATATGCGGACTTTTTTTTTTCATGCACGAACACATCTCAACTTTGGTCAAAAAATAACTCTCTGTCTCATTTTTACGCGTAAAAAAAATGATTAGATTAAAAGGAGTTGAAGAAGTTTGATTTATGTGAAATTGGATAATGCGATAATTTTAAAAATGGAAGAATTATTGAAAAAAACGGATTTACAATTATTTTTCTTCCGTTTCTTTCTCAATTTTCAACATTACAATAGTTTACTGATTTAATTAAGCGCTGAATAGATAGTTGAATAAAGCATCGAAAATAGGAAGAAATTTACTTTAACGCATCTTAATTCTGAATAAAAAACCCTATTCCTTGATTTTTAATTGCTTGTCACACATGAGAATTAAAACGGATGGATGAAGCTAGACAAGAAATTCACGATTTTACAGAGTAACAAAATTTTTTGATTTCAAATACCAGAAATATATTTACAAGATTATAAAATAAATTTGTATTAGTTTTCTCTTTAATTCATCCATTTTTAAATAATATAGATAAAGAATTCAAGTGATTTAGGAAATATATACTATTTATATTTCCAAAAATAAATATAATCTTGATATTTATAAAGTGTCAAAAGCCCATTATTGAAATTTTATATATGCATTTCAAATAAATCTCATAAAATCCTTGTAAATCTGCATTCGTGGAAATAATACTTTAATTTCCAATGAAATATGAACTGAACAAGAGTGTATGCGTGTAATGAATACATACGACATGAGTTATATGGCCAAAAAGGTTTATAAATCCAAATGAAAAGCGTCCGCGTGCAAAAATATAGACAAAGCGCTTCTGCAAATAAAGAAAAAGTGACGAAATGCTATCACACGACACGGCGTGTCCGCCGTGTCCCTCCCAAATTTATTGATCCAAAGGAAAGCTGACGGCGAATCCTACGACAAGGAGAACAGGGTACATCCTTTTCTATACAATGAACATTCTTCGGTAGAGTCTAGACGTTGTTGAGAAAACGTGAGAAGCATGCAGAATGTAAAGAAATATTTTTTTTTTTTTCGTTGAGAGACTTCTTCAGAATAACCATACACAAACTCGTTTTTGTAAAAAGGGGACTGTTATAAAAATGTAAAATAAAGTATGGAGCGTTGTTTTATCCTGTACCGATCTATTAGGTCACGATATATAAAGCGATAAAGATAGCTCATGATATACTAAATGTTAAGCGTCCATTTTTTTCTAAACTAATCGCAATCAGTTTACAATTTGTGTTGAAAATTATACGCATTGACCCACATATTCTCCTCCGCATACATGCATTTGCATTACACTTACTGCTTAACAATGCTCATCCTACGCTTTGAATAGAATTTTCTTATTAATCAAGCAACACAGAGAGAATCGGGTAACCACATTTAGCAATTTAGCTCCGAATGTATTGAGCATACAAGCTTTTGAGATGCACTATTGTCGGGTAAATAATACAGAGTATTCGTCAACTCGATTTATATTAAACACACGGTGAAGATACGAACTTGTAATGTATATGTTTAGATTAAAATGTATATATGCTTAGATATTAATGGGATATTAGATTACAGAATATTGTGCACACTTGCCGTAATTAATGGCCGATCAAATTTACATTGATTTGATCATCACAATATGTAAAAATTTCTATATCGCGTAAAGATGACTTATTTTCCTACATCTTTCAATTTTCTGATCCTTTGTGCGCAATTATTTCAATTTGATCAAGAGAAGAGAGAGGAGAATATCGGGTAACATCAATACATTTATCTATAATAATTTTATTATAATTTATTATATAATTTTATTATTTTTTATATTCAATATAATTCTAGAAACAGATTCAAGGAGAATTATTGCGATTTTTATTTATAGAATGTCCAGTCTCCGAAGACGGAATGGAAAGATTCGCTTGTCCGAGTGCGGATAGAATGGGTAGATATCATTGCATCGACGATCACGTCCTGTGCGACGGCTTTGTAGACTGTCCCAACGGCGAGGATGAAGACAGACGTGATTGCATGTTTTACAAAACCGTGAGTACAATTATGATAATTTTTATTTTCTTTACACATTCCTTCTAGATATACAGGAGAGAAATCTAATTATTTATTTTTAATTCCTTTTATAAAAAAAAAAAAATTGATCAAGATACACAACGATACTTCTTTTCCTTAAACTTGATAATATATTTTTCACGATGTATTTTATTGCCTATACACTCTCTTGTGATTATGTTTAAAATATATTTTGAAAACGCATATAAATTCTTAAATAACACAAAATTCTAAAAATATCGCAAGCAAATCTGTAAAAAAAAAGTTAATATGTATTATTGCACGTTGAATATCTTTTCCGATATTTATTTACCAATATAAAATTTTGTGACTCTTTATATTTATCATTTTGTGATATTTACAATCAACCACCGATTTTGTATTTCACATTTATAAAACAAAATTCGATTGTCAATGGAGAGTATATCTTTTCAAACATGATTTTTATTTTAGTTACTCTCTTATATTCTGTCATTTAGAAAATATGAAATAAATATACTATATATTCAGATCTTAAGAAAGAGAAAAAATAAATGCAAAAAATGTAAAGTTCTGTTAAAAGAACAGTAATAGAGCAGATACTAAAAAAGAATATATGTTAAAAGAATTATATTAAAGAAACTTTCTCTTTTCCCATCAAATAAGTTAAGTTAATAAAGTAACAAAGTAATAAAAAAAAAAAAAAAAACTAAATGGCAAAGTATATTTAAGTAGATAATATAAGTAGATAATATATATGCTTTAAGCAACTCTGTTATGTTTTTCCAATAATATCCAAACAAATCTAGGAAAAGAATTTTTGTACGTTCGAAAATGCCATTTAAATTTGCATACGCTGATTGATAAAATACGTAATTATGTGTATTCTGGATTCTATGTAAATCTTTGCTGAACTTTTGTAGTGTGACTTACCTTATAAAGTTCAAACGAAAATGTAGACGTGTATTTGCGCTAACCGTGGGTGTAATATCAAGAGCCAATTTTCTATATAACTCGCTAGTAGCATTTTCCGAAGCATTGAAAATGAGACAAAACACTTTTTAATAATTTGTACATTGTCTCTTCACACGTTTGGAAAATAGCGCGAATATCGATAATTTCAGATTCACTTTTACAAGCCCATGTCAAGCGCACGAAATGTCAATGATAGGAACAGGGACGGAGATCCTAGTAAACTAAAGTATATATGTACGACAAAAAATACTTATTAACTTTTTAAAATATAAATATAAATATTTATAAATTTCTAATGATAATGCTTGAATTTAATTAAGATCACTTTAAGAATAAATTGTAAAATTAAATGGCTAAATGATAAAGTATTGATACTATACACTGATATTAAATATTAAACTTTCTTGATAGGGTTTGAGTTACGTGAAGATAAATGGTGGAACTATCATATAAAAAAATATCTCAATTATTAATTATAAATTAATTACAGTTGAATGTGAGATACAAACAACGTGTAGAAAGAAGAGTGAACTGTTATGGATAATCCATAGCCTTCGGTTTCTTTCTACTAATGAACGGTACGCTAATAAACGATATAATCGCATTCCGATATGTTTCAGACGAAAGCGCATCTGGACGTATTAGCGGACGCCATACTACGATGGGCGAGGGGACGCTAATTCCTTCTTTGTTGACGATGAACCTCCAATCTGTACATAAAATCACAAGTCTAATACGTCTACTTCTTTATATATATTCATCGATATCTTTTTCTCCTACATTAATCTATTTTCCGGAAACTGTTTTCTCTCTATGTTGGGCGCATAGAGATGTTCATATTAAAATCAAACTCAGGGGAACGTTAAGATGAACCGTCTCTCTCTCTCTCTCTCTCTTTCTATCTCTATACCTCACTCTGTACTTCTCCCTCTCGCTCTCTCTATCTCTATCTCTATCTCTTGCTCTGTGCCTCTTTCTGTCCTTTTCTCTTTCTTTCCCAGAAACGAATACGGCCGCTCGAATTAATCTCCGAGAGGACACGGCATGGTTCTAACTACATTAAAAATCGGTTAGCAAGGTCTATCTCGTAACCAAGATATCCTCACATAAAGTACAAATTATAAGGTGTCCGAACTTTTAGGATGTTATAAATAAAGTTCGTAAGAGAGTTATGGCATTTTAACGCCGCTGTGTATGGCGCACGAGAGTACCCGACTTGAATAATTTCAGTTCTAAGCATATCTATACCAGCTAATATATACCACACAGATGATGTATTACGATTTCATATTGAGCGATTTCCGCGAGATCGTACTAACTCTTTAACGACTTTATTTTGGTATACAATAAAGTAATTTTGAAGACTGAGAACTATTTACTTCATTCCCAGAGTAAACACGCGGCTTCGCGCCGAACCGATAGGAACGAACGATATCGTACCGTTTGGCAAGGAACGGGCACGTGTACCTAGAGATTTCCTCCTAGAGTACTTCCTAAGAGATTGTAACAGAAATGTACTCATGTTTTTAATCAAATCACTCCGCAAATGACGTTAACGCGTATATAAAATAAACATAATAATTAAAACTCAATGTCGATCCGGTCTTCTGGTACCGACACGAAGAGACGTCTCCTTCGCCTTGTGTGCACGCTCCATGTTTTTTCGTCATCGATATATCTCTAAATAATTAATTTATTTCGAATTTATGGAAAGATGTTCGCGAATAAAGACAAAGTAAATGCTTTCATCAAAAAAAAAAAAAGAAAAAAATGAAAAAAAAGAAAAAAAGAGACCCTATGATGATTAATTGCTAATTGCGCTTCACCAAACCAGCTCCGAAGAGAATACCGAGTTAGGAAATATTTAGAAATTTATTAGAAAGCCATTTGCTGCCGTGTATACACTTTGCGTTCTGCGATATTTATTTACAAGCTATTATCACACGTATTCTCAGAAATTCACAAATATATGTATCGATATTGCTGTGAAATTGACGAAAATGAATTTCTCCTATGTTAAATATTTGATGTCCAAGAATTATGACTTAACGGTAACATAATAATACATATATGTTCCAACTATTACAGGTAGTTTTGTATTTTCATTTTCCATACCAAATCAAATATTAATTATTGATTAAGAAAATATTTGGTGTTAGAATTACATAGCTCGTATATATAGAAAGATAAATAAGGAAGAATTTTTATATATATTAAGTTTCAAACACACTCCCTTTCCCATCTACAAGCCATTTCCAAAAATATATTACTTTTCAGGCTTTTCCTACGTTTTCACAAAATAGATTATAGAGTAACTATAGGTTTATATAAACGTATTTTTTTTGCCTTTCTAAATATAACTTTTATCTTAATAACAAGCATTTATGTTTTGTAATCATTTTCTGCAAGAAACATAATCGATATGCTTTCATTGCTTTGTTAATCACATGATAAACCTACAATTGCACATCTATTCTTATTACAATTTCGAAGAGCATGTATTAGATTGCGAATCAAATATTCGACTAAACACTATCATAGAATCTAAACGCTTTACAAAAGACTGATTGCTAGTCTTAAATGTTGCAAGATTATCAAACTACAGATCATTCGTTTCCAATGGTATTATTCGCGTCGTAAATTGTATTTCTTGTGGAAATACAGTTCTTCCGTTTGAGCATTTGGTTTTACTAGAGTTATTACTTTTAGTGGGACACTTTCTATAACATCTTTGTCATTTATATACACAGGAATTCGTTGGATATCCGAATTGTTGTTTAGAGCTAAATATTTTATAGGTTGAGTAATATTTTGTAGCATCACAGAGCAATGCTGATCGTCGATCACTTTCGGGTACGTATATGCATTATGTTTTTGCAGTAACAATAATGGTACATCACTGGATGAATTAATACAATTATCCATGCTGCTATTATGATCATCATGTAAGATTCTGGGTTGCACAGCTCCTTTATGAAAATGATGCGCTTGTGAGACATTATGTTGACATCTGGTAGAATCCAAACATTGTCCTTTGCAATGACTTAAATTAGCTCGATTCCTAGCGCGTTCTATGTCTGCTTTACTAAATATTTCTTTACATGTAGATTCTCTAAATCTTTTGTCGGTTTGAATATTCTTACGGGGGAAGTTTAATGTTGACGGTATCGCTCTTGCGTTGACACTGTTTAAAAGAACATTTTGGTTCCGATTGTGTGGATTTTTCTGTAAAAGTTCTTGTTTGACATCATTCTTTTCACATTTATGTAATTTGGTTTGTTGAGATGATGTTTTCGATGATTTTACATTGAAATTACAAGGACTTGCGTCTCGTAAGTAGTTAACTGCATTATAATTATGTGAATGAAAAAGATGTTTTTTTACTTTCGGCAAAACTTGTTCTTGTTTTCGAGCTAATCGTTCGATATATGCATTTGTATTATACGAAACTTCAAAAGTTTGCAAAGAGTCATCGAATCGACACGATTTGTTTCTTCCATCTAATTTGTTAGGTTGTATATTTATGTCAAACTTTTCTGCTAGTGACTCTTGTGAATCTTTTATTTCCATTGATCCATTCTGAGGCTTAAACGTTTTTGTTTGATCATAAAAATTCACAAATTGTGCGTTTATTACACTAGGCGTAGGACAATTTTCAGATGCATTTGGGAATTGCATTTCATAAGATTCTTTTGTAATATCGCTATAAGGATCTGTATTATTTTGCATCAAATGGAATTTGTTTTCTTTCTGAGATGTATTTTCTATTAAAGGAAATTCGATTGTGTGATTTTTTCTATATTTAGGAATTTCACAATCGATTTCAAAAATTGAAGTCGAATTTGGTGATATTAGTGAAACATCTGAATATGTACAAGCTTGATATTCCTCAGACAGATCAGGTGATTTCACAGTTTCCAATTTTTGTTTATTTTTTTCGTGTAAAAGTTGTTGACGAGAAGAATCAACATAAGCATATCTATCGTTATCTAGACTTTTATTATTTATATTGATTCCAAATTGCTCATATAATTTTTCTACATAACTCTTCTTATAGAATAAATCTTCATCATTCTTCTGTACAGAATGATTATCCTTAATAGCAGTGACATTATTATGTCGATGAAGAATGACAGGTCGTTTAATGTTCTTTGCATTACACTTATTTGTTCTGTTGAAAATATTAATCGGCGATTCTTTGCCAGCATAATCTTTTGATGAATATTTCTTGGCAAGTAACATGGAACCGCTGGAAAAAGGCGAGATTTCTGCGTGTTTCGTATTATCAATATATTGTGAATTTTCATGATCAGGAAAATCGACATAAAAATTATCTTTGTTATGTCGTTTATTTTTCGAAGGATGATTAATATAATTAGAATGCTTTCGGATAGAATCTTTTTCATTCACAGAATTAAAACTTACTGCTCTCTTAGATTGATGAATATCTGCTGATTGTTTTGAATATTGATTATCGTTATTCTTGCGATTTACTATACAGTCATTTGTATCACATACTTCCAAAATATTCTGCGATGAATAAGATATAGAATCATAAGGTTCTATATTATCACTTTGCATAAAATGGATTTTATCATCTTCCTTAGGTATCTCTTTTAAAAAAGGTGAGATTGTGCGATTTTCGCTATGTTTAGGAACTTCATATTCGATAGTCGAGGTCGATTTCGGTGATATTTGCGAGTCATCTGAATATGTACATTCTTGATTTTCTACAGACGATTCAGATGATTTCATAGTTTTTAATCTATTCTTTCGACGTAAATATTGTTCATGTAAAGAATTAGAACAAATATGCTTCAATTTTTTAATTATTGTTGTGAAAGGATCTAAAATCATTACAAATAATAATTAATGATAAAAATTTTAATGATGTATAATCAGGTTACAATAATTATTCTGTATATAACATACCTGGTTGATTTTGTAGAAAATCTCCAAAACTTATGGCAAAGTCTGTTTTGCAGAGTTCTTTATACTGATTCATAACCCTATATGTATTTTTACTATCCTCATGTGTTTGTGTTCTGTTTTCATTTTCTCTATTTTCTTCCATAAAATCGTCATTTTCAAATATTCTGTGAAATAAATATTTTATTTTATAATATACAATCCGTTCTCTTCCTTTACTGGATCTCATAATCAAATGAATGATAAGATAATTTATAGCTTTACTTACTGCATTTGAGTAGCTTTTGGTTGTTCTTTATCATTTCGAAACAGTTTTTGCTTATATATGCTTTCTTTTTGAGCAACATATTTTGATTCATTATTAACATTTTGTTTTGCAATTTTATCAGAATCAAAGTTCTTGAACAAATTTTCCTCACTTTTCTTTTTAACAAGATACAGCTTTTGATTTTTACTGCAATATTAATATATACAATCTTTTATATATATATATATATAGTTATAACATTAATAAATGTTATCTGAATGAACAAATATACCTATGTTTCTTTCCCAAAATGGGACTTTGCTCCAGGATACTGCCTGGTGTCGAGAACTTTAAACTATTTTTTACAAAGTTCTTTTCTGGTGATTGTTTAGTAGTTTCATTATGGGTTGAAAGCTCTTCTTTATATCTGTAAAACAAGATGTGTTCAATTTATATTTACAAAACATTCTTTTAGACTTCAATTGGTAATGCACTTACTTGAATTCTGGAGTGTCGCCATTAAAAAGTTGTAAAGCATCTGCTTTTAGCCGAGCTTTATCAAACAAACTTGCCGATGTTTCTGTTATAGAATATTACAATTATTAAAACCTTATACTTTTATTATTTTGTTATTGCAACATATAAATTTCAATATAAATACCTTTTTGGATGTCTTTGCTCTTTGCGCCATTTCTGTATATGCCAATAGCCTGAAAAAATTATATAAAATGTTTATCTATAGATGCAATGGATTTTGGGGATATAGTTAATATCAGAATTAATAAAGTTATATACAGCTCTTGGCAGAAGCCTGGTACAAATTTTTGCTTGTCTTTGTCTATCCTTATCGCCATTTTTCCCCACATTATCCTGTAAGAAATTCCTACATATGTATATTTCAATTATACACAAAGATATCATCGTTAAAAGTATTTTATATATTTCAATGGCCTCTGTACAATAATATATTTAAAAAATTTATATAAAAGCTTCGGTGATTTTTATACATAAATCTTGTCCTCTCTTTCTCTCTCTCTCTCTCTTATCTTTCTCTCGCAAAATTATGTAGAGTTGTAATAAAATTATAGTTATTAGATTTTTGTGTAGATATATTTTTTCACACAGTTAAACTTCTTTAATAACAATATATTATTAACACACAATGTAATTAATTTTTGATCAAATATAACTATATAAAGGATCATAATTTATAAAAATTAATAAATAATAAACACTTTCTAATACTTCTGATACTTCGCGTTCTGACATAGATTTTTAGTACTGGTTGTTAGTTAAAGCAAAATACAATCTTTATGTCGACACTAACCTAACACTATTGTGAGGAATGTAATAACATATTTATACCATGATATCGATCCGGTGCTTCTTAGATTAGTCTTAATTATTGCTGATTACACACATCTCTACAAATGCAATTAGCTTATGAGTCATAAAGAGTTGTAATAATTATACGTACTACGTCTCACGTGTCGCATACGTGCACACGCGCAAGCACGTGCTGGCGCGTTTCACGGGTCTATTTACTACGCATTACTACTACGCGAGGGAAGTTGTAACTTGTAACCAGCGCCACGATCGATACGAATGAACGTATACGTATAATGAATATCTTTCAGTATTGCAAGTCTATATCGAAACACATGCCGGATTCGCGAACGACGTGATCCAAATACATATATCTATGCGTTTTCCCCTCTTAAAGCTTGTATCAATTATCGAGGTCGATAAATCGTGCCGAATATAAAGTCTCGGTTTCGTGGATCATCCTCTTTTTTTAGAGCGGGATCGGGGATCGAAAGGAGATTACGAGGATGCGAAAAACGCGTCGCTGTAAAACATACCAATTTCTTCTTGGCTTTTAAGATCTTCGAATGTATTCTGTCAAGGTCCTTTCTGCATCGTTTTCGTTTCAGCATTTCCCGATCAATGGACCTTTGCATGATCCTGCCTATCTCGGTGTAAGATCAGATTGAATTTACGAGTTACATATCACACTCTGTGTCACAAATAGTTACAAAATTTGCGGTAACAAACGCGAACGCTGTCTCAATGACGACTGACGACCGCCTTCGTATATATTTTCGCTTCTAGAATAGTACAAAAAGAGACATTCCAGTCCTAGGATACAGGAACACATACTGAGCAATACTGAGACGTATACTATACTATCAGTTTATAGAACTCCAAGTTTTTTTTTGTGACGTCACGGAAAAGAGAGGATGTAGAGGGAGGAATGTTATTTATTATTTCGCTGTCTTTGTATGTGAAAGGTGAAGCAATGACGAGGAATAAGAAGCGTGATATGGTGGAATACTTTGTTTTTCGGGGGAAAAAGAATTTTTATTTACGGTGAATATAAAAAAGACTATTAATCATACACAGCATATTCGTAATAAGCATTCAAATATCTGATATTTTTATATTAATTTTTCGTGCGGGAAAAGATACTATCAAAATATATTATTTTATAAAGAAACAAATATATACATCGAGTTATTTATATATATTTAAAATAAA